CCCAAGTTCCCATCAGCAGAAACACGTGGGTTTGATATCCTGGCTCCAACATGGTGGAATGAGCTCCCCATTGACATCAGGACAGCAGAAAGCTTACACATCTTCCAGAGCAGACTGAAGACTCATCTCTTTAGACTCCACTTCGAGCAATAGAAGCACTAACAAAGCACTTATATACTAACAAAGCACTTATATACTAACAAAGCACTTATATACTAAGAAAGGACTTACTAACAAAGGACTTTCTAACAAAGGACTTACTAACAAAGGACTGGCTTATCTAAAGCTAGTTGAGTAGCACTTGAAATGTTTTGGCTCTATGAAACCTGATGTACTTATATGATTCTGTTTTCTTCAAGTTTGTATCTTCTTGGTCGAATGCACTTATTGTAAGTCGCTTTGGATAAAAGCGTCAGCTAAATGCAATGTAATGTAATGTACTACTACCACTACTAGTTAAATTATCCACTTTGTTACAGTATATATATATATATATATTATTTTAAAGATGTTGGGCCACAGGTGTCTCTATTTGAGTGACAGCTCTGTGGGGGCACAGAGGGAATGACATGCAGAGCATGGTCCCTCCTCTGGGGGACGCAGCTCCAGAGCATGGTCCCTCCTCTGGGGGACGCAGCTCCAGAGCATGGTCCCTCCTCTGGGGGACGCAGCTCCAGAGCATGGTCCCTCCTCTACCAGCTGAGCTATTCAACGACCTGTTGTGTAACCTCTCCACCCTCTAGCCCCCCTCACCTCCTCAGAAGCAAAGTGTTTCCGGGCCAGTAGCGACTTCCCGAGCTCGATGCAGGTCGTGAAGCTGTCGTTACGAGCATCGATCTCCGCCTTGATGCCCTGATGGTTATTCATCAGCAGCTCCACCGACGACACGTCTCTGGAACACACAGGAGAATGAGTCCTAAACCCTGGCATGAGTCAGCATTATGAGTCCTAAACCCTGGCATGAGTCAGCATTATGAGTCCTAAACCCTGGCATGAGGGTTAGGGTTAGGGTATGAGTCCTAAACCCTGGCATGAGTCAGCATTATGAGTCCTAAACCCTGGCATGTGTCAGCATTATGAGTCCTAAACTCTGGTATGAGTCAGCATTATGAGTCCTAAACCCTGGCATGTGTCAGCATTATGAGTCCTAAACTCTGGCATGAGGGTTAGGGTTAGGGTATGAGTCCTAAACCCTGGCATGAGTCAGCATTATGAGTCCTAAACCCTGGCATGAGGGTTAGGGTTAGGGTATGAGTCCTAAACCCTGGCATGAGTCAGCATTATGAGTCCTAAACCCTGGCATGTGTCAGCATTATGAGTCCTAAACTCTGGTATGAGTCAGCATTATGAGTCCTAAACCCTGGCATGAGGGTTAGGGTTAGGGTATGAGTCCTAAACCCTGGCATGAGTCAGCATTATGAGTCCTAAACTCTGGCATGAGTCAGCATTATGAGTCCTAAACCCTGGCATGAGTCAGCATTATGAGTCCTGAACCCTGACACGAGTCAGAATTATGAGTCCTAAACCCTGACATGAGTCAGCATTATGAGTCCTGAACCCTGACATGAGTCAGCATTATGAGTCCTAAACCCTGGCATGAGTCAGCATTATGAGTCCTGAACCCTGACACGAGTCAGCATTATGAGTCCTAAACCCTGGCATGAGTCAGCATTATGAGTCCTAAACCCTGACATGAGTCCTAAACCCTGGCATGAGTCAGCATTATGAGTCCTAAACCCTGGCATGAGTCAGCATTATGAGTCCTAAACCCTGGCATGAGTCAGCATTATGAGTCCTGAACCCTGACATGAGTCAGCATTATGAGTCCTAAACCCTGACATGAGTCAGCATTATGAGTCCTAAACCCTGACATGAGTCAGCATTATGAGTCCTAAACCCTGACATGAGTCAGCATCTCCTCACTTCCTGTCCCTGGCTCTCTTCAATGGTTTTCTGTGGTTAGCTGCAGAGATGCTGCCTTCAGGTTCCTCTACAGAAACACGTCCTCCCTGCACTACTTTTCGTATGTGTATTTGTTTATTTGACTGCACTTTGGTCTGGAGGTTTTAAAGTGCTTTATAAATAATAATACTAGAGAAGTAGTATTGTACTCCTGTGTGTTAGCTTAGCGCTGGGGGTACCTGGGGTTCTCCTGGGCCTCGATGAGCCAGATCACGTCCTCCATCCACAGCATGAGGTCCCTCACCAGGCTGAAGAACCTGAACTTGTCCCCGGTGTGGATGAGCCTCAGCCTCCGGGCGTCGCAGGCCTCCAGCAGGAACCTCCAGGCCTCCAGAACCTCCTGCTCCCTCCGCTGGATGTCATCAGCTTTATCCCCCGCGTACGCCGCCTGCAGGCGCACCGCGTCGTCCTGCAGCTGCCGCACCTGCAGGGGGGGCAAAGGTCAACGTTACTCAGCAAACGGTCATTTTTCATATATTTTGGACATTTTTGGAATGAAAAATAAATAAAAGGATTACCACAACAACTACTACTACAACAACAACAACAACAACAACTACTACTACTGCTACTAGTTAAATGATCCACTTTGTTGCAGTATATATATGACTTTAAAGATGTTGGGCGTGTCTCTGTTTGAGTGACAGCTCTGAGGGGGCACAGAGGGACATGCTGTCAGGGAACTACTTTCTGATCAACCAGAGTAACGAGTGATCATCTGTGAACATTTAAACATGACGTTTAGCTGCGACCTCAGATTGAAAGTAGTAGGTTGGGGTTAATGTATACTTTAACCCAGCCCCCCGGGGGGATCGTACCTGCGTCCCCAGCGCCTGGATGTCGTGCTCGAAGGTCGAGTGCATCCTCTGCAGCGTCTCCACGGTGTTCTGGTCGCGTCCCGCCTCCTCCGGAAGCTTCTTCTGTTTGTCCACGATGCGCAGCAGGATCTCCTTGCCGTCGTGGTAGAACTTGTGCAGCTCGAAGGAGGCGGCGAGGATCTGCGTGCGGGTGTCGATGAGCTCCAGCAGGTCGGCCCACGCCTCGTTCAGCCCGTCCTTCCACTCCGCCACCGTGGCCGCGTCGCCGTGCCCCGCGTTGATCAGATCGTCCGCCAGCCGGTTCACCGTGTCCACGCGCTCCTGACCGATGTTCCCCGTGTCGCGGGCGAACTCCCGGAAACGCTCCTGCAGCATCTGCAAATAAAATCAGTGGTGTAAAGTAACTAAGTACATGAACGCAAGTACTGTATTGAATGCAATTTTGAGGGACTTGAATATTTCCATTTCATGCTACTCTGTACTTCTACTCCACTACAGTTCAGAGGTACATGGTGTACTTCTACTCCTCTACAGTTCAGAGGTACATGGTGTACTTCTACTCCACTACAGTTCAGAGGTACATGGTGTACTTCTACTCCACTACAGTTCAGAGGTACATGGTGTACTTCTCCTCCACTACAGTTCAGAGGTACATGGTGTACTTCTACTCCACTACAGTTCAGAGGTACATGGTGTACTTCTCCTCCACTACAGTTCAGAGGTACATGGTGTACTTCTCCTCCACTACAGTTCAGAGGTACATGGTGTACTTCTACTCCACTACAGTTCAGAGGTACATGGTGTACTTCTACTCCACTACAGTTCAGAGGTACATGGTGTACTTCTACTGCACTACAGTTCAGAGGTACATGGTGTACTTCTCCTCCACTACAGTTCAGAGGTACATGGTGTACTTCTACTCCTCTACAGTTCAGAGGTACATGGTGTACTTCTACTCCTCTACAGTTCAGAGGTACATGGTGTACTTCTACTCCACTACAGTTCAGAGGTACATGGTGTACTTCTACTGCACTACAGTTCAGAGGTACATGGTGTACTTCTACTCCTCTACAGTTCAGAGGTACATGGTGTACTTCTACTCCTCTACAGTTCAGAGGTACATGGTGTACTTCTACTCCACTACAGTTCAGAGGTACATGGTGTACTTCTACTCCACTACAGTTCAGAGGTACATGGTGTACTTCTACTCCACTACAGTTCAGAGGTACATGGTGTACTTCTACTCCACTACAGTTCAGAGGTACATGGTGTACTTCTACTCCACTACAGTTCAGAGGTACATGGTGTACTTCTACTCCACTACAGTTCAGAGGTACATGGTGTACTTCTACTCCTCTACAGTTCAGAGGTACATGGTGTACTTCTACTCCACTACTTTTTATAACTATAATGATCATATAAACGTGTGCCTCGGAAATAATTGTTTACGTTAATGGTGACCAAAACGTTTGAGACCAACCCAGTCTCACATCTGTCCTGCCTCTGCGCCCCCCCTGTCCTGCCTCTGCGCCCCCCCTGTCCTGCCTCTGCGCCCCCCCTGTCCTGCCTCTGCGCCCCCCCTGTCCTGCCTCTGCGCCCCCCCCTGTCCTGCCTCTGCGCCCCCCCCCTGTCCTGCCTCTGCGCCCCCCCCTGTCCTGCCTCTGCGCCCCCCTGTCCTGCCTCTGCGCCCCCCCTGTCCTGCCTCTGCGCCCCCCCTGTCCTGCCTCTGCGCCCCCCCCTGTCCTGCCTCTGCGCCCCCCCTGTCCTGCCTCTGCGCCCCCCCTGTCCTGCCTCTGCGCCCCCCCCCTGTCCTGCCTCTGCGCCCCCCCCCTGTCCTGCCTCTGCGCCCCCCCCTGTCCTGCCTCTGCGGCCCCCCTGTCCTGCCTCTGCGCCCCCCCTGTCCTGCCTCTGCGCCCCCCCTGTCCTGCCTCTGCGCCCCCCCCTGTCCTGCCTCTGCGCCGCCCCCTGTCCTGCCTCTGTGCCCCCCCTGTCCTGCCTCTGCGCCCCCCCCTGTCCTGCCTCTGCGCCCCCCCCTGTCCTGCCTCTGCGCCGCCCCCTGTCCTGCCTCTGCGCCCCCCCCTGTCCTGCCTCTGCGCCCCCCCCCTGTCCTGCCTCTGCGCCCCCCCCTGTCCTGCCTCTGTGCCCCCCCTGTCCTGCCTCTGCGCCGCCCCCTGTCCTGCCTCTGCGCCCCCCCCTGTCCTGCCTCTGCGCCGCCCCCTGTCCTGCCTCTGCGCCCCCCTGTCCTGCCTCTGCGCCCCCCCTGTCCTGCCTCTGCGCCCCCCCCTGTCCTGCCTCTGCGCCGCCCCCTGTCCTGCCTCTGCGCCGCCCCCTGTCCTGCCTCTGCGCCCCCCCCTGTCCTGCCTCTGCGCCCCCCCTGTCCTGCCTCTGTGCCCCCCCTGTCCTGCCTCTGCGCCCCCCCCCTGTCCTGCCTCTGCGCCCCCCACTTTGAGAACCACTGCTTTAATGCATCAACATGTGTGTGTGTGTACGTACAGTAACGTGCTCGTAGTCCTGTCCCAGTTCATGACTTCCTGCCACCACCTCCCTCTCAGCGACCCACTGCTCCAGCTCGTCCACTTCCCTGTTCAGCAGGAAGAGGCGGAGCCTCTCATCCAGTCGGCCCCGCCTCTCCTCTGATAGGTCCTTCATACCTGCATACAGCTTATCCACCTGAGACTGACGCATGCTGATCCTCTCACTGCACACACACACACACACACACACACACACACACACACACACACACACACACACACACACACACACACACACACACACACACACACTCCTGTTATACACAATGTATTATAATATTGAAATGCATTTTATTGAAGTTTCTGTGAATGTGAAGCAGGTTAGGGTTAGGTCTGTTTCATGACTGAAGTTGAGCAAAGATAATGTTTGTTAGGGCTTTAAAGCAACTCAGATACGCAGATAAATAACATAAACAAACCCTAAATAAACACCAATAACATCCTCTTTATCTACAGAGGTCCTGAACACTGATAGTAATATAATAATAATAGAAATAATAATGATAGCATAGCGACCTCTCGGGGTGAGCCTCGGCCACCAGGCCTCTGCTGGTCTTGGACAGCAGGTGCACCGCCTCAGCGTAATCCTCCACCGCCTGCTCCGCGATCTGATGCTTCTTCTGCATGGTGACCGCACTCAGTTCGTCCTGGAACACACACATTCAAAACACACACACACACACACACATCTCAATCTTTTCAGACATTTCTCAAAATACTGACTTTTTTTCAAAAAATAAAAAAATCCAGATTTTTTTCTCAAAATCTCAAAATTCTGACTTTTTTCCTCAAATTTCTGACTTTTTTCAAAGATTTCGCACTTTTTCCTCAAATCTCAAATGTTCGAACCCCCGGAAAGGGGGGAGGCTACATCAGGTGATCACAGTGTATCATGTGACCTCACCTTGGCCTTCTCCTCAGACAGGGGAAAGGGGCGGGGCTACATCAGGTGAACACAGTGTATCATGTGACCTCACCTTGGCCTTCTCCTCAGACATCATGTACAGCTCCTGCTCGCTCATCCAGGCTTCGGCCTCGGCAGCGTCAAAGTAGTACTGCTGCGCACGGTGCGCCTCCTGCAGGCGGTCGAGGCGTCGCTGCGCCTCCTCCTTCAGCTGAGCCCACAGCTCCTGCAGCGCCGCCAGACGCCCACGGGTCGCCTCCGAGGACTCGTCCTTCAGGAGGCTGACGCTGCGCTCCAGGATGTCGTCGATACGAGGCTGATGACCCTGGATCTCCTTCTGCAGCGTCTGAGGACCATGTTTAAATACATGAGACATGATGTGGAACAGATCCTGGGTCAGATGTTCCTGAACGCGTTCTGACCTGGTTCTTCTTGATGAGCAGCTGCACCGTCTGCAGGTTGTTCCCGTGGTCTGAGGACGTGGCCACGGCCATCCTCTCCTGCACCCACAGCTGAGGACACACAGTGTGTTAGTCACCTGACGTTCACCTGAGCAGACTACACCTGAGCAGATACACCTGAGCAGACTACACCTGAACAGATACACCTGAGCAGACTACACCTGAGCAGACTACACCTGAACAGATACACCTGAGCAGACTACACCTGAGCAGACTACACCTGAACAGATACACCTGACACCTGAGCAGACTACACCTGAACAGATACACCTGAACAAATACACCTGAGCAGATACACCTGAGCAGATACACCTGAACAGATACACCTGAACAGATACACCTGAACAGATACACCTGACACCTGAGCAGACTACACCTGAACAGATACACCTGAACAAATACACCTGAGCAGATACACCTGAGCAGATACACCTGAACAGATACACCTGAACAGATACACCTGAACAGATACACCTGAACAGATACACCTGAGCAGATACACCTGAACAGATACACCTGAGCAGATACACCTGAACAGATACACCTGAGCAGATACACCTGAACAGATACACCTGAGCAGATACACCTGAACAGATACACCTGAGCAGATACACCTGAGCAGATACACCTGAGCAGATACACCTGAACAGATACACCTGAACAGATACACCTGAACAGATACACCTGAGCAGATACACCTGAACAGATACACCTGAGCAGATACACCTGAACAGATACACCTGAACAGATACACCTGAACAGATACACCTGAACAGATACACCTGAACAGATACACCTGAACAGATACACCTGTGAGGACT